AAGTATGAAAAACTCAAAAACGCCTATAGTTTTGATTGAGAAACTAAGTACTGTCATTGAGAGTTTGAGTTTCAATATATTGATAACCATAAATTTTTAAAAATTTTTGCTACCGCTTCTAGAAACTATCATTAAACAATTACACTTTTTCCTTTTAAAAAATAAAATCAACTATCCCCAGTTATAGGGTATTTATATTAACAATACTTTAAATTAAATGGATTTTCTTTCGGTGAACAATAGCGTACACCCCTAATTATAGGGTAAGATATCCCCAATAGTTGCCGTAAATACCAAGAGACTACCTCGCGTTTTCTCCGAATTCCTCCCCCACCTTCGCTATGTAAATCTGCAAGGGTTGCAATGCTGCCAGACTTTTGGGATAAAGCCCGTCAGCTGTTTATCGGGCAATCTGTTTACTTTCGTTTGTTATTGGTTTTCGGGTTGGGTTCTAGATAAGTAAAGTACTCTTAATACCAAATACCAAGAATGGACAGTCCGTAAGCCCCAAAACAAATAAGCAATTCGGTGCGATTAAAGCATGGGGGAACGCAATTAAAATGAGTCTTTGTTCCATTACCTCTTCCTCTCTTTCTAGCAATTAAAAGAAGTCCACGTAAAGAAATCAAATCAAATAAACTGATACCATAGCTTAAGTCAATGGTAATATAAAGATCTCTACAAATAATATATGTATTTTTAGTCGAACATGAAAAAATGTAACACTTTTTTACTTAAGGGTCTCTTAGTTAGACTTAAGATATAAAAAATATTATGAAATTTAAAAACATTTCTGTCAGTGTCTAACAAATTGGTAAATTCCGCTCATGAGCTTCTTTTCTGTTTGCTTATTTACTTTGCATTGTGTCCACATTGCACTTGGCGAAGAATTTCCAATTTGTCAGAAGTCCTCACTTCGCAACCGGTCATTATCCGAGTTTGGTGGGTTGTTGATGGGGTGTTTGTGGGGACTTTGGGGGGGCGGTGGCTTGGGGGTGGGTTTGTCAGCGAGTTTATTGCACTTTTGTCGCAAGACAAACATATAATTTTTTTTTTGAGGGAGGGCGAGACATTAGCCACTTACACTTTTACAAGCTGGGCAAACTCCCTGTCGCTCCAACAAAGGCGATGACTCCTGTTCTTCCTCTTCGTATTCCTTATTCCTGACTTCAAACGAAGGACAAAGAACTCGCTTTGCCATAAAAATAAACGAGATGCAGTCTATTTTCGGGGTGGGGTTTGTGGGGGCCGCAGAAATTGAAGTGGCTGACTAACTGTCTGGACGGGCAAACAAACAAAAGAGCAACAGTACGTCTTGTAAAAAAAGAAAGGGGAAGGGAGCCCCAGGCTAACGAACGAAATCAAAATATATTCTTGCCCTTTTCATGCTTAAAATTTGAATCATAGAGATAAGGCCGGGTTTTTCCAATTTCTTGGTTCCAGCTGGGCTATCATACAGATAGATAGTATACAAGTATTTTTAACAAAAATCAACAAGCTTAACAAATATGGTCTGTGGAGAACCCAAAAAAATGATATCACATTAATATAAAAAGCTATAGGTTAACTTCCTTATTATAGAATATTAGTATATTTTTATTTATCAGTTTAAATGTGCAACAGTTGCTTACAGGAAAACATATGAACATGGAGTATTTAGAGGGTACCATTTATCAATAAATGCACTGCTTATTTTCTGATTGCCTATCTACCACTTGAAAACCTCTTGAAAATTCATAGCTCTTCGGGAAAAGAAAAACAATAATACAATAAGGAAACTGCAGTTTAAAGGAAGGTCATTAAGCTAAGCACCACAGAAAAATTTATAGACATTAAAACTCTTTGTAAAGTATACGATTTTGGGAACAATAAATAAAGGAAGTAAAAGATACAAGATCAAAACAAGCTTCAACCCATGGAATTACTTCCGAATAATTAGTTTTCCTTCAAGGATTAAGATTTTTAAAAACGAATTCAGGGTTAACCCAACAATACTTAAACAATATTTAAAATGCTCTCGAAATTTCCCTAAGAATACGCTCCAAACCATCTTGAAGAACCTCTTCGAGATCTTAGGATCACATCGTTAACCTGCTGGACAACTTACATCGTATCGATGATGATTGCGTCCCGAATTGGTCATTTTACGCGTGGATATATCCAGAGATCCAGATCCAAATCCAGAAATGCAGTTGCTCCCCCGCAGTTTTTCGCCTTCCTTTCCCTTTCGCTCGCTCCTTGCTTCTCCCTTCCCACGCTCTTTGATATTCTTTGTTGTCCCGCTCTCTTTGTGCCAGCGAACGTGCGTGTGTGGGTGTGTGTGTGTGTGTGCGAGCAGGAAATTATGCGTCGTCTACTTCTGCTTTTGTTGTTTTTCTTCCTCTTGCTCTTCGCCGTCCACCGTTTGTTTTTGTTGTTTTTGCTGCTGCTGGTAGTTCTTTGTTCTGTAATTGTTGATTGCACTTGGTCGCCGTTGTTTTTGTTTTTTGCTGCTGTTGTTGTTATTGCGAAGAGAGTTATGGTATCGGTATCGGTGATTTTTTTATTTTATTTGCCTACATCACAAGAGATCTGCGTTAACTGCATTTGGTGCAGCTACCCCGATATTCCGAAAATTGGATATTTGCATTATAAAAACAAAAAGAAACGGCAAATCAACGACTCGCTTCGTAATGCGTAAATACGTTTTTCCCGTTCTTGCATCTTTTTCGCCGTTGCCTTTGTGCAGGTATTCGCTTGCCCGTTCGCCGCGTTTTTCTAGTTTTGCCAGATTTTATTCCGTTTTTATGTAATTTGCATTGCAATATTGCACTGGACCGATGGTGGGCCCGGATTTCGTTTTACAAAACAAACGCAAACACGTAAGACACGTAAGACGTAAGTATCGTCAAAACGTAAGTGTAAAGCGAGATAGCTTCAGCGTAAGTGTCAGTAAAAAAGCGAGATGCAAGATGGGAGAATGGACGGATGAAAAGGGAGAGCACAAAAACACAAAAAAACACTGTGTGACCGTTCGGAGGAGAGCGAGAAAATCACATAGTCGTGCAATCAGCCGTTAGTATTACCGCATTTTAGGTTCAGGATGGAGAACTAAAATAGTAATTTATTTAAATACGAATTCAACAAACTAAAGCCTAGTACTCAGATTGGCCAAAAGTTTCACTGGTCGAAAAATCTTATTCTTTGTAAGGTGACCGATGTTTTCAAAGTTCACCCCCAATGCATGTGGCATGGTCTCTTACTGTCAAGCAGCTGGGCGTGTTGCCAAACGGAAAATAAATCAATTGGAGCAATTTAAAAAAGAAGAGCCTGCTGGTGCACAAAGAAATTAAAATAAAAATAAAAAAATGTTCAACGAATGTTTTTATTTATGTAAATTAGAAGTGTAAGGCTTCCTTTTTGTCCCACGGATGCTTCGCGATCTTTCCCGCGCCATCTGTAGTTCAGCTTCAAGTCCCAATAGGTTGGCCAATAATGGCTGGTGATGGCTCCACCAGCTGTCCCTTCGCGGGCGACCTTATTTTCTCCTCCCTATTGAAGCCGGCGCGTCCTCCATCTCCGCTTTAGCTGTCAAGTAGCTGGTGTGGAGGTAGAGTCCTCAATGGAGAGCTTGTCGGAGATCGAGCAATGTCCCATGTTCCTTCCCACTGGGATTCTCTAGTGGATCTTCTCCAGCCCTTCAACTATTCTGCGGATTCGCCCCGTTGTGGTATTGCTTCCTGTCGGTCAAATCCACAATAATGGGCAACAGCTTTGATTAGGTGACCTTTTTCATCTGCACTGACCTCCCTTACCCGTTTTTGGTGTTTTTCTTCCATTTCTAATTTTTAAATTCCCCTCCGCTTCTGCACGAACCGCCAAAGATTACATTTCTTATTCTTTGGGTCGTGGCTAACGGCTTTCATCGAAAATTCACCCGCGAAATCTGGTATTTTTTCTGGTATTTCCTTAGCTCATCTGAGTACCGCGCTAAAAAACAGACCCGACGAAAAGTTTTAGCCGCCTGTTTGCCTGTCGCTCACTCCTAGTTTTCACTCGAAGTTTTCGTCGATGTGAGTACTAGGCTTAAATCTTTATAAATTCACAATGAAATTCAGAATAGAAATGCGATAATTTAAAAATTAAAAATTTAACGTTTTCTGTAAATACCGTTACTGATTGAAACTTTAAAGCTCTCAAAAATATTCCCCACTGAATTAGTTCCTGTTATATTTTCAAAATTGTATTTAAAATTAATAACTTAAGGAATGTATGTCAATACACTTTAAAAATATAAACTATATCCATAAACCAGTTCTATGAACCAGAACCACAAAAACCGCATAACGTTGTCCACCTTAAAAAAAAACTACGAAAGTAGGCCTGTTTTTAGGCTTTAAAACCGTAATAACTTAATTCGTTACTTTTTCCAAACATTCTTATTAAGATTACCGTTACAGTGCCGTATTCCTATTGGAAATACTGAATGAACTAGTTCCCCAACTATTTCCAACGATCTGGCAGCCCGATCAGCTGTTGGTCTTGTTTTGTAATTCAGCACGCCGCTTATTTCGCGTTTTTTTCAATAAGTGGCTTTAAATTTAGCAACAACTACTACTAAAACCAGGATGTGGCCCATTGTAATGGCTCTGCTAAGGCGTAACGCCGTCTACATAACTTTGCCAATAGCCGGCGTCGTCGGATTTATTGGCTATAATCTCGAGAGTATGCTCTCCGACAAATACACCCCATACAGCCGTGAGTTATTCTTATTATGAAAGGAATATTCAAGTTAAAGTGTAAAAACTCCACAGCATCCATACAAGAGTTACGCGCCAAACGTTTGACAGAGGAAAGTCTGAATACAAATGCCGCCAATGTGGAGAAGTTACGACTCAGTAGTCCTGTACTCGAACGCAACCTTTCCCCCTCGCTGCAGCCGAAGACCTAGACCTACCATGACGTGTTATCAAAATTAGAAAGTTGTTATCAATAAAAAAAAAAAAGATACGCCAAAAAAATTTACTTGAACGCAATGTTACATCCCTTGCGGGGATCGAACCCGCGACCTTTGGATTAGAAGTCCAACGCGCTATCCTCTGCGCCAAAGGGACAGGTGGTGGACGGCTTTCCAATGACTCATACGAGCCAAGAGGAGTTTCTGCTGTTGCAAAATGGATAAAAAAGCTTTCACTCATCTTTAATAATTCAATAAGTACATCGAATAATAAATTTGTAATAAATTTAAGAGTTTAGAACAGCTTTGTTCTCGATCTAGAACGTTTGGGGGTTCAAGTGCTCGTTAGCTGAACGTCCGTCATAGCCTCGGTGGCGCAGTTGGCAGCGCGTAAGTCTCATAATCTTAAGGTCGTGAGTTCGAGCCTCACCCGGGGCATGTAATCTTTTTTTTATATTTTGTTTTTATTTTTTTTTATTCTTTTTAAATACAGCATAAAGTAATTTCAGGTGGTGAGATTTATTTTCCCATGCGCTGGATGGACCACTCCTGCTGGCACAAAGGGCATCGGTTGTTCTGTTTGACCCACAAGGACATGCAGCAGTGGTGGAAGGAGTGGTTGCACTCGCCCCAAACCACCACACAGTCCTGCCGGCCCATTACATCCCGCTTATTGTCCGCTTGGCAACGAAGGCAGGAATCTGGAAAAGTAATAGGAAACAATTTATTAGCATAAGCTTTAATACACATAAATAAATACTATATTTTAGGGACCCTTTTTTGTATACGAATGTTACCCTAAATTAGGTTTTAAGCCGAAAAAAGTTTGGAAACTTGGCGTTTAAAACGTATTCTTTTATTACCAGAATATTTTACAATTAAAAGCTATTTTAAAACAATGAAGAAATTTGTATTAAAAATCTGTATCATCTAGGATAGTCCCAAAAATAACATTTTCTATAAAATATCACATGGTTATCAGCTATAAAAGAACAACCTTAATGTTAATATTGAATCATTATTGAAATCAATTTTTTTTGGTGAATCATTAGGTAAAAATTTAGTTTTCCTCCTCCGTAGGTATTATGAAAATCAACTTAATTGAATCAATGAGATGGGATGAAAAGGTCAAGTGACTTGGAAGACGCCTTAAAAATAGAACTATACAAAAGTGCAACAAGTGATCTGCAAGTGCTCTTGAGAAAACGCGTCACTCACAACTTTGAGATACAATTAGCTGAAAATGCCAACGGTTTCGAATCTCTGCGGCTGTGACGCAATTGCATCTTTGACACCTGCCCGATTTCCTGTGAATTGATTATGCCCAAAAGCTATTGGAAATGTCCTCCGATTGCAGTTATTCGATATGAATGTTCTTGACCAGCGGAAATGCCTTCATTCAGAAAATATTCACACCAAACTCGGCAAAAACGTTCATTCAACAAAAGGTGAGCACATAAAAAATAAGTGCAATGTAAATCACAATTCAGCGAGCCTTTCCCCCCTCCCCGCCTTTGATTTCAGGTATTTCGGTTGTTGTTCGTGGGAGAGGTCACTGTACTGGGCGGCCCAAATTGAGAACGCATCGGTTTTCACTGGCGATAAAAAAATTTTCTCAGAACGACCGCCGAAATTTGACAAGTCAATGCAAAAATGGTTCAATCAGTGGCTCATTATAAGTACAGAGGGAAAATAAAGGGTTTTCTAAATTTTATGTTTAAAATTGGATCTAGTTTGGATCTATACAGATAAAAAACGGGAAAGGTCCGATAATAAACTTATATGTCTTCCATATGAAGTTTGGGAAATTATGTTTGAATTTTTTAAATGTTAGTTGGGTTTTTTTAATTTTTAGGATATTTGCTGTCTTGTCATTCTGTACCAAAATTTATTTCTTAAAAATTAACCTAATATTATGGTATTAATTGGATCATTATAAGTACAGAGGGAAAATAAAGGGTTTATACAAATGTACTTGATGTTAAAAATTGGATCTGGTTCGTATCCATAAGGATTAACAACAAGAAAGGTCTTCCAAAAAAGCGTATATGTATTCCATATGAAGTTGAAAAAAAAAGTCTTTTTTTTTAATGATAGTTGGGTTTTTTTAAATACAAAGATGCCATCTTGTCAGTACCACAAAACATATTTTTAAGGATTAACCTAATATTATGTTATTAAGTTGGATCTCAAGGCTAACACAACAATAATTTTTAGGGGCATCAATTAAACACTGGTAATATTAAATCTAACACATTACGACTTAATTTCTTGCCGTGTAGCGGGCATCACCTGAGCCGCTTGGGATACCTGGTGCAGGTGTTGGTGTTGACATTTCGAAATACGATCGCGTCGGCAGAAATTTACAATACACCTTCGAAAATGACAATCAACAGAACAAGCAGGTAAGGTAAATGCGTCGTCGCCGGACGGCTTGTGAGGCATCACGTATACGCCGCTTTGGCTGGCGTTGCATCGTAGAATTCTGCTGACCCGTAGAAAATATTAACAACGATATAAAGAACCAAAAAAAAAAGAACAAGCGAATTGTACACCCCGCGTGAGTCAAGGGATTATGTTTTTTTTTTTTTTGGTGTGAAAATCGCCTCACAATTTCCCCTGGTTTTAGCACTTTTGGGTAAGCGAAAAACGATCACAACAACAGGAAATTGTTAACATACTTCCAAGAATTTCATGATTTTGTGTAATTGAAGTAGAAGTCAATAGCCATTGGTCACGAACTATGGCTCTAATCGGGTGGCTTAAATGCGTTCTATACACAAAATTGCTTCACTGCTCTTTTCATGGGTCTTTGAACTAGTGAGAGGTGAACTCTAGCCAAATGAAATGGCGTTGTTTGTTGTAAATGATTTTTTAATTGTTTTTAAATTAGAACAACTTATTATCTATCACTCATCGGATTTCGGAGTTAATCGGTTAATGCCAATTGTTGTTCTGATTATTAAGCATTGTTTCATTGTTCAAAATGTTTTCAAATGAGCTTGTATGGTTAGCTTTGTTGACTGTTTTGCTGCAGGATTCAATGGTAATTCGTATTGTATTATTACAATCTTAAGTTCTTTCATATTTGTATATCCTTTAGGGTACTCGTCTTTTGAAGTTCACTAATGTCAAGTGCATGGATTTACCCACTTCACGAGGATTTACCAAATATGAATACTGTCGTTTGAAAGTGGTTCGCCGAAATCAGGTGGAACTTTCTCTGAAGGTCAGCTTGTTGCAGCTTCCCATCCATAACTTGACCACCAGATTACAATGCTTTCAACGACGGGATGGTTATCGACCCTTTATGTACAACATCCTCTTTGATTTCTGCAAACTAATGGGCAGTAGTAATTATAAGATATCCTTTGAACGATTTATTTTCGAAGCCTTCCGGAAGCAGAGCAACTTCAATCAATCTTGTCCTTGGAAAGAGGTGAGTATAATATAAGGACTGTGAAATACATCTGCAATAGAGATTCTCTATATCAATAGATAGTTTCATAAAATACATTTTTCAAGTAGTCTTCAAGTGTAATATCGTTTTTAAATTATTGACTATAGATTTCAAAAAGGTTGTTGTTCTGTTTTGGTCCAACTCTTGAATCATAAATTTTAATAATTCTGGATACAAGATCTGATTTTTTTTATAACGCTCTATAGGGTAGTTGTTTTTAAAGATTTATTTATAGTTTTTAAGTAAACATATTTACACTCGGCTAAAATCGGTTACCTTTGGACTTCCTGCCGCATATTAACCCATATTTTTTCAGAACCACATTACTGTTGAGAAGTTCGCTCTGGATTTTACCAAGATCAATATGCCAGTGCCCGCCGGAACGTATCGCTTGGATTTCACCTTTTATGCCTACGGCATCGCTCGTACATTGACACAGGTGTTTTTCGAGAAAATCGAGTGAGTCTCCGGGCGTCACAAACATGTTCTAAGTTCTGTTTAAAGCGCCCTGGATTGCGTAAGTTAAAAGATCCGAATACACTCAATAGAATGGCATCACTGTTTTCAATTTACATAGACCAACGTTTTGATTTCCTTGCCGTAATAAAAGTCTGTGTGGCAAGTTGAAGTCAATCAAGTCAATAAACAATTACGGGCAATGGAAAATTTTTTAGAGGGCTCGGCCTAGGCACAGTGGGAGAAATAAAGTGTCCCAGGCGAGGAAGTGACATTTCATTTTTGTTCCCAGCTCATGCATAATCAATCAAACCACCGTCCGGAGGCAGTTTTGATTTAAATAAATACCAGTTTGGCAAATTGATTCATTTAGGTAGAACGATATGAAATACCCACGGTACAGTTAGTGGAAAAATATGCGCAAAAAACAAACTGCGTCATTGCAAATCTGCGAAGTTCTCGCTCTACAAGTCTACAAGTATTCTTCGAGTTCAATTGCGATCGTTTAGCAGGGCCGCCAAAAGGGTGGGGTGTGTCTGGGAATCTGGAAATCTGGAAATCAAGTCGGCCGGATCGGTATTTGACTCCGTTTTATAGGCCCATCCATATGCATAAGGCAAATCGACAGTTGAGCCCTCGACGAGTTAATTGCACAATATGTATCTGCTGTCAGATCGCAGACAAACGAAACGTGACAATGACGCGCCCACCTCAGTTGATTTGAGCCCAGCTCACATGACTTTGCGAGCCGGAAGCTGATCGTCTGGCTATATGGAGAGTTCCTAAGTCGAGTGGTCTGAGGGTCTTGTTTGCCCAAGAACGTAACTTATACTTTAAGATCCCCAGTCTTACGTATTTTTAATGGAAATGGAAATCAGTGGGGTTTTTAGTTCTCTGACAAAGGTTCCTAAGAGTATGCAATAAAAAATGCAGTCTTTCCCCTTTTAATCCTTTCATATTCCTTATTTTCAATATTGTTGCATACTTTTAGACATCTTTTTAAGAACCCAAGAACGTTACTTATATTTAAAGATCCCTCGGATTTACGTAAATAAAACGGAGAAGGATATCAGTGGGGTTTTTAGTTCTCTTATAAAGGTGTCTAAAAGTATGCAATAAAAAGGAATGCCGAATATATAGTTTTCAGATCACTTCAAAAGTCTCTAAGGCATGCTACTCTTTGGTTTCTAACTTTAAGTCTGGAAGGCCAAAGGAAATTCAGTTATAAGTCGAACAATTAGTATAATTCGTCTTTTGGACAATTAAGAGTATAAAGAAATGATCATATAATCATAAATTGTGTTTTTAACTGTATGTCTCCAAAACTCAAACTTTTTTAGTGGTAGATAATGATTCAAGTATTGAAAGTTCGACTGCATAGGAAAATGTTACCTTCTGCCTTGTATTACCTTATATCATAGTTTTTGAGGAGGAGGACCTTCTGTTTTCCATAGTTCTTAAGGGTTTTACAGATTTCTGTATATGACCGAGTAACCCATATGCCCCATTACCTATAGAGTGTGGCAGTGGAACGGCCGGCAAACCTGTCCGACATACCTGACAAAATCGTTACTGCTTTGACTTCAGGTCTGCCGATACAAGTCGACAGCCGACTGATTAAGAATTCCAGTTTACTGCGCCTGACCAGACCAGACGCCTGCCGACCATATAGATATATAGATAGGTGAATCGGACCGGATCGGAATCGGATTTGGATTTGGAACTAATCGAGTGCACGGCGGTATGCAAATGCAAAATGTCTGGGGCCGTTATGCAAGTATAAGT